GGCGTGGCTTTGTGACGGGCTTCTAGTGGCCCCGCCCCTTCCAGCAGCGTCAGCAGATCCCAGTGGTTTCGTTGGCGAGCGACGTCCGCGGGCGCTAGCCCAGCCTGGTCCCGCAGCTCTCGGGCTGCCCCCAGCCCCAGCAGCAGCTGGGCTACTTCCACCGCTCCTTCCCGTGCCGCCAGGAACAGCGGCGTCTGCTCCTGCACAGGAGGAAAGAGCCAGGGGCGATATCAGGGCAGGCCACGCCCACAGGACTGGGCCTTTCTACCTTCACTTACGGGACCACTGGCCCCTCTCCCTTCAGGCTTTGCGGGTTACCGCACTTTCCATCTCTCCTGCGCCCGACTGTTTTGTGGGAAGCCCTCTGTCCCATCTAACCCTGCTGTCTTGGGCGTCTTTATCGGCTCCGGCCTGAAGAAGCGAGCGGGCGGCTCGGGCGTTGTTCACGGCAGCAGCCCAGTGCAGCGCAGTTTTCCCTAGGGGACGACGTGGGAGGTTGTTACCGCTGTTGGGGGCCAGACGCCTGGGTTCCGGTTTCCCACGGGTTCTGTCCTTGGGGGAAGGGCTATTTGGGCCGGTTGGTCCCTCAAAGGCGGGAAGCGTTGCCCAGGAGACTACCGGCCTGCAGGAAATGGTGCCCTGGTGACGTCATCAGTGCGCGGGAGGGACAATGGGGCATTGTTCTGGGGTCGGTGAGACTGGGAAACCGTCCCCCCCGACGAGATCCCGCCCCCTTTCCACACACACTGTCTTCCATGCCAGTTCCCCAGTAAGCTGGAGCAGAGGGCCAGTGTGGTGTTGACGGTAGAAGTTGGGGGGGAAACTCATACGGCCCGTATTTCCACCGCATCGCAGATTGACAGCCTTAACAGCAGGATGAGAGGGAATGCCCCTCCACTGCACCTATATTTTGCACTCCATCTCCCACCCCATCTGCTCAACTTCTCTACAGCACACATCACCCCTTCCTCTACATACCCCATTTATCTCTGGCCCCCACGTCTGCTTGGGCTGCAATCAGTTCTTCAACCAGGTCTTCCACTGCCAGTCTGGCAGCCAGCATCAAGGGTGTGGTCCCGTCCTCTGTGCGAGCGTCCACTGCAGTTTGTCTGCTACGGAGCAGAAGCTGGGGAGACAGAGGGCCAGTGACCCCTGGGGTACCCTGGACTGCCAACTCAAGTTCCTTACACTTTTAACCCCACTCACAATCCATATTCAGCCATCCTCCGCAGTTTCCCTGTCAGGTTCCCAATCACACCAGTTTCCTCTTTGTCAAACTCTAGGGGATGCTTCTGTCCAGCTTTACTTGTAAGCTCGCCCCATTCCCTGTAGGGACCTCAGTGTGTGCCAACCTGGCAGACCTCGCGAGCATCAGCAGCCACAGCAGCATGAAGGGGTGTGCGCCCTGCGCGGTCTGGCTGGTTGGGGTTGGCTCCAGCCTCAAGGAGGCGGCGGGCAGCGGTTGGCCGGCAGAATCGGGCAGCCAGGTGCAGGGGGGTCTCCCCAGTGCCCACGGTGTGAGCCTGGGGACAGGCCCCTCCATCCAGCAGAGGTTCCCAGGGCCCAGGACATCCCAACCATGCCCCTTGGAAGGTCCTGGACTCTACTTCCCCACAGCAAACCGCGGACATCAGGGGTGTCACCCCATCTGTTGGTAAGACATGAGTAATGGGTCAATCTAAATGACACAACAAGGGGGAAGGGACAACATGTAAGCTCAGAGAGAATCAAAACCTGAGGTGTTGGGAAGCTAAGTTCCGGTTCTGTGTGGCTTTAGTCAAGTGACTTTTCTACTTTTCTCTGACTTCAGTTTCTTCCTCTGTAAAAGGAACCTGCAGCTTAATTCTCTGACATTCCAGGGCAGTGGTTTTCTCAAACGAGTCTGGATCAGATTCACCTGAAGGGCTTATTAAAACAGATTGCCTAACATCTTCAATTCCTGAGTCAGTAGCTCTGTAGTGGAGCCCAATAATTTGCATTTCTAACAAATTCCCAGGTGATGCTGATTCTGCTGTCTGAGGACCACACTTTGAGAATCATTTTTCTAAGGCACTAGTCTAAAATTAGTTCCTCTAGTTCTGATATTAAAGGACTCTCTGATTCTAATAGGGTCTAAAGACTTTTTTTTTTTTTTTTTCTTGGTCTGGGTTGACTCACATACCAGGTCCACGGGTGTCCAGGTCAGGGGCTTCCATCTCGGATTCCTGGGGAGGAGTTAGCATGGCAGCCTGAGGGAGCTCCCCACAGCCACCACTCAGAGACCAGAACTGGCACTTGGAGGGTGGGCCTGTTTCTTCAGCCTTTGGGTAAGAGCAAGGATCAGTGAAGG